ACAGCTACCAGGAAGCAGTCTACGGTGGCAAAAGCCAGAAGGAAGAACCTCTGAGCACCACATACGTCGTAGGAGATGACTTCCTCCTCTGTGAGAAAACCTCCATCACCGTACGAGTGACAGCGGAAGACCTAACACATTCCACCAGACAGAGGTTACGTAGGAACAAAAAGCTAAAAGAGACCCATGTATACAGAGAACAAACTGGTGGTTGCCAGTGGAGAGCCATGTGGGGGAAGGGCAAAATAGGTGAAGAGGAGTGGGAGATTCAGTCTTCCAGGAATGGAACGAATATGTCACAAGGATAGAAGGTGCAGCCCAGGGAATACAGTCAATGGTATTGTAATGGTGCTGCATGGGGACAGACGGTAGCTACAATTGTGAGCAGAGCATAATGCATAGAGTTGTCGAATCACTGTGGTGTATGCTTGAAACTAATGTAACATTTTGTGCTAGCTACATTTCCATTAAAAAATAAGAATTTTTGCCATGAAAACAAACAAACAAAAAAACTTGAGGCAGATGTTTAAATCAGCTTTATTTGTAATCACAAAACACTAGCACCAACACAAATGTTCTTCAACTAAGAATAAGATAAACCATCAGTAACAACCAGATAGTAAAACTCTACTCCGCAGTAAAAATATTCTCCTTTGATACAGGAAACGATACAGATGGGCCTCAAATGCTAAGTGAAAAATTATAGACCTACGCTGTACATGTTCTAAGATTACAGGTAAGGACACTCTAGAAAAGGTGACTTTATTTGGGCAAAAGAGTTTATGGGTTTCCAGGGGCAGTGAGTGGGAGAACGGGTTTACACAGAGAGGTTTGTATGAATTTTTTTAGGTGATAGTGCTTACTTGACATGAATCTGACAATATTCCTAAAACTATATGCTAAGATTGTGGATGTTACTGTATGGAAATCATGCATTAATTATAAACTGACAAAAATAACAAGTAATACAAAACGTGTGTGTTCAATGAAAATAACCAGAGTGGCTCCCACAGGCTGTTTAATTGCTTCCATCCTGAGAAGGTGGGATGAGGTGCCGGAAATGTTCTCCCAGGGGAAATTCCCAGAGAAGGTCTGTGTCTCTATAATTCTCTCCACATCCCCATGCATTAGCCAATGAAATCCCAAGATAACTCCACATGACATCATTGTAGAGGCACCAGTCTACATGCTGAACCCATTTGGTGATCATTTATTCATATGAATGTTAAACTTGCTAGTGCACAGAAGTCTTATCGTGGATTCTCTATCAGCCTGCAACCACATTCAGGGGAAACACCCCAAGAGAAAAATCACATTGACTTCAAAAATGATAATTTCTTACTGAGATGTTTTACAGACCCTCCCTGCTTGTTATTTACAGACACGAGTCTGTGAATTATGTA